CATCACCACCATCACCACCATCACCACCAACACCACCATCACTGCCACCATCACCACCATCACCACCATCACCACCATCACCACCATCACCACCATCACCACCATCATCACCATCACCACCATCACCACCATCACCACCATCATCACCATCACCACCATCACTGCCATCATCACCACCATCACCACCATCACCACCATCACCACCATCACCATCACCATCACCACCATCACCACCAACACCACCATCACTGCCACCATCACCATCACCATCACCACCATCACCACCATACTACCTCCATTATCATCAACACCACCATCATCATCAGTCTCATCACTGCCAATATCACCATCAGCATCACCATCATCGTCACCATCACAAGTATCACATCAGCACCATAAGCAGCATCACCGTCATTCCTACCCACAGTAGCACTATACCTCCACCATCACCATCACCACCATCAGCATCATCAGTGTTGTCACCACCATCACTACCATCCCTGCTCCCATCCACTTCACATCATGGATTCACGTTCTCACCTCAAAGTCATTACTTACCCTAAGATTGCAGATTCTCAGATTCTAACAATCTAATCGTTCCAACTGTCAAACTTCTTCATAAACATTCTAACAGGCTAGAATTTTAATCGAAACTTTAACATTTTAGCAAACAATTTTATCATTTGATCTTCTAAAACATGTTCTAACCAGATTTATAAATAGCCTGATAATAAATATATATATGCTGTTTCAAACCACAAATATCCCATTAAAACTTTGGTTAACATTCAATCAACATACTAGTCTGGGATGAAACCCCTAAGACTCCTGGATGTTCACAAGAATTTTACCAAAATGTTGCATTATAACTTTCTAAGAAACATTCCAACATCCACTCTTCAAGACCAAGAAAGAATCAATGCATTTTAATTATGGTATTAGCAAAGAATATTGAATATAACATAGACCGTCAGAAGAACGAACAAATTTGTCTTTGAAGAAGTACAGCCAGAATGCTCCTTTGAAGCCAGGATGGTGAGGGATATGTTGTCATGGGGACCAGTTCCTGGAGAATAACTTCATGCTTGACAACACAGAAGGTCAAAGAAAAAGAGGAAGACCCTCAACAAGATGGACCGACACCAGGACCGCAGCAGCTGGGTTCAGCAGAGAACCAACTGGGAGGAGGGCGCAGAGCTGGGCGGCTTTGTTCTGTTGTATGTGCGCTTGCTGTGGACCAGAACCCACTCACCAGCACCCGTCTCAGCTCTCCCTCCAGTCCTGCCATCACTGAAATACCACAGTGTGTGACTTCAGCAAGCAGAAGTTTATTCTTTGACCATTTAGAAGGCTGGAAGTCTGAATTCAGGGCACCCGTTCTAAGAGGAACATTCTCTCTCTGTTGGCTCTGGAGAAAGAGCCTCGTCTCCTTTTGGACTGGACATCCCTCGGAGATCTCCATGTGTCTTGGCACCGATCTTCCTCTGTGCCTAGGAGGGTCTCAGCACAGGGACCCTGGGTCCAAAAGACACACTCTGCTCCTTGCTCTCCTTTCTTGGTGGTAGTGAAGTCCCACCCCTCTCGGCTCACCTCTCTCTCCTGTTTTATCAAGATAACAGATGTGGCTCAACCAAGAGCATGCCTTGAGTAGGCTGGGACTTGAATAAGGATGATGGCTGACAAGGCTGTGACGCAAGATAACCCCCCACACTGACCTTGCCTCATTAACATATGTTGTTGCTGCTGAGAAGAAACCCTGTATAAGGTTTCTGAGGCGAGGCTGGTGGATTTTAACTGCTGACCTTGAGGTTAGCAGTCCAGTGCTTAGCCTACACACCACACCAGGACTCCCCATTAACATACAGAGGTGTTAGGATTGGCAACCCATCACAAAGTGGAGAATAACCTCACAATATACGATAAGCAATAGACTGTGAACCACAAGGTTGGCAGTTCGAGCCCACCAGCCACTCCATGGGAAAAAGATGAAGCTTCCTGCTCCCTATATGAGGTTGCTACAAGTTGGTACGTGGACTCCTGATGTGGCGCTGTGGGTTAATGCACCAGACTGCAAAGCTATTTGAACTGCAAGGTCAGTGGTTCAAGCTCACCAGCTGCTCCCCAGAAACCCTATACAGGGTCACTATGGGTTGGAATCGACTCGACAGCACTTAACAACAACAATGCGTTGGTAATTAACAACACTGGGAATCATGCCTAACCAAGTTGACATATATTTTTGGGGAGACAGAATTCAATCCATGACGGCACCTAACAACAATATGCTCACAGACTTTCAGACATTCCAGCAATTCCCCTAACATGGAAGGAAGCGTGCTGCTAGCCTAACTTTCCTGCAAACACCCTTGTCCTCCAGCTTCCCAGCTGTCCATCACGGCCACTCACCTTCCTGTAGCCACGAGATGCTCTCTCGGCATCAGCGTGTCCAACTTTCCACAAGATGGAATGTTCTCTGTCTCCACTGTCCAACCTGCCCTTAGACTGGACTGTGACTGGCAGGAGCAGCGAGGGAGTTTTTATTTTACTTCATTCAATGCAAAAGTTTGAGATATTAAAAATGTCTGCTTGGAGCACTGTGCTCTTTAAAGATCTCTCTCCATAGGGTCAGGCTGACGATGGCCACTCAGAAGAGATGGGAACCTTCGGGCCAGGGAGTGCTATGCTGATGGGAAGGCACGACTCTGAAAAAGGGTTAGAATGACTGTCATCGATGGCGCTAAATGGCACATGTAGGTGCTGTGGAGTTGGTGTATGTTTTGCTGTGTGTATCTCAACAACAACAAAATAAATACAATTTAAGGAGAAGAAAGCACACATGTAAGTACCCATCTGGTGATTGGGTCCCATATAGCAACAACTCGGTCATCGACATAGCATGTCCACAGACATCATGATAGGCATGAAGTGAAGTATGAGTAGCATTTGGGGTCTTAGAGGTTTTCATGGGCCATTTCAGACACAACTATGGGTCTCTAGTCACCAGAAGCAGAAAAATCCAGGTAACCAGAACCACTGAGAAGCAGCAGCCACAACTCTATCTGCCCCGAGCCCAGAGGAACTAGATGGTGCCCTGTTACCACCACAGACCATTCTGACCAGGGTCACACCAGCTGGTCCCACAGGAAGTGGGAGGAAACCATGGAGCAGAACTCAAATGCTTTTGTTTTTTTTTTCAAAAGAGCCAGGCCAGCTATAGAACAGTTGAGAACAGAGGACCCCCGGAGAGTATGGCCCTGAAACATCCTAAGCCCAGGACCAAGCTTATCCCCTGAAATTTTAGTTGAACAGCAGAGGGGCACGCAAAGTAAAGGAGACCTCCAGTAAGATCGGTGCCTTTCTTAGAAAGCAACTCTATGAGGTCAAAAGTCAGCAAAGATGAGAAGTTAAGGGGACAGGGGAGCTAGAGCACTGGACACAATCAGAAAGCAGTGAACTACACTGTTGGCATGTTGCAAAAAATGTGACTAATGTCACTGAACAAGTTGTGTGGAAATTGTCAAATGGGAACCTCACTTGTGTAAACTTTCACCAAAAACTCAGTAAAATATTATGTAAAAAGAAAAGAAAAATCAGAGCCGAGAAAGCCCTCCCAGAGAATCCTGCTCCGTCTCATGGAGTCGCTCTGCCTCAAACTCGATGGCACCTAACAACAACAACCTGTGGCTAGTGGCCATCACCTCAGTGCGGAGCAGGGATGAGACCCACCCCATGTTCCTGAGTGCCCCTCTTTGCCCTGGTGACCGGGATGAGACCCTGCTTCCTGAACCTTAAAGGCCACTCCTGGGAGATGGTGAGCAGAGAACACAGTCAGTCATGCTCCTGAGGACAGTCTGTGTCCTGGAGGCAGCCCAGGCCTGCCCATGGCTAAGGACAGCCACACACCTCTCAGTACCTGGGGAAGGGGCTAGCTGACCTTGACGACTCTCGGCAGCTCTAAAACCATTACTCTCTGACTAAAATGCTGCCCAGGTGGATGGATAAACAATGGCACGTACACAACATTAAAGAATAGCGGGGAATCCTCGAAACGCCTCCTAACATCATCATAGAGGACATTATGCTGAGTGAAATAAGTTAATCACAAAAGGGCAAATACGGTGAGGCCACTTAATTGTAAAAATGTCAAGGTAAAGCTTGCACACAGAAAATAAATGATTGCTAGGGATGGGAAGGAGCCCTAATGTGGTGCTGTAGGATAAGCACTGGTGTGCCAGCGGGTTCATGAAGCCAGAGGGCTGCCCGGTCTATGTTGGAAGCAAGCTGACACTGCCTCTGGCCCCCCTGGCTGCCTCCCCCAGACCATTACTGTCTGGAGTCCAGAAGGTTCCAGGGCTGGGGGACTGGGACAAAGGAGGACACAGTCAGAGCATGGCTGGGGGAGACAGACACAGGACACTGGGGGGGGGGGGTGCGCTGAGGTGACCCCACCCCTCCTGCGACTACAGGAGGTGATGAAGTGTCTCACCATGAAGGAGCTGACCGACCTCATTTGGACAGCCATCGATGGCCTGCGCTCGTCCAGCCCCTTCCGCGTGCAGGCTGCTGCCCACCTGCTACTGATGGCCGTCCAAGACCACGGAGACAAGCTGGACACTGTGAGGAACTGGGGTACCATGAGGGCCTGGACAGCTGGGCAGCAGTCAGAAGTCAGGGTTCAGGACTATGAACTATGGGTGCTCCAGGCTCAGGCCTGATAATGGAGCCTCAGCTTCCTGCTCAGATCCCTCAGGGCTGGGCTGTGTCTCCCCCTCAGACTCCCCCAGGGCTGGGCTGTGTCTCCCCGCCCCCCTCAGATCCCCCAGGGCTGGGCTGTGTCTCCCCCTCAGATCACCCGGGGCTGGGCTGTGTCTCCCCCTCAGACTGGCCCTCCCCTGGTCCCCAACCCCACAGGTTGCCAAGATGGGCCGGGCCATCCACCTCCATCTTTGCTCTGTCCGCATCCCCCAAGCCAAGGAGAAAGCCTTGCAGGCCATCACCCTGCTGGCCCGGAGCCACACCTCCGAGCTGGTGGCCGCCTTCCTGGACTTCTCCATACCTCTGGACAGGTGCCCAGCCCGGCCAGCACTGCTCACCTACTGCTACCGTCACACCTACCACAGTCCATGCTGCCCAGGCAGGGGTCAGGGACCTCTCCCTCCAGCTCTGCTCTCATGCCTGCCCCTCACAGCCCACAGAGCCTCCACAGCGCCTCCCAACAAACAAGTTGAGGGCAGGCTTGGGGAGGCATGCTCACCTCATTTTATCCATCACAGATCGCCCCTACCCTGCCTGTGCCCCCATCTCCATCGTCCTTCTCGCCATCACTGGCCCTGCTTGACTCTTCCATTTCCTCATTGTGGGATCGTTACCATCCCAAGACTTGTTCCGACAGCCTAGAGTTTGGTCTTGGTTCTTTTTAGGAGGTGCAAGAATCCCATGCACAGCTATCCGTGTGCCTGGAAGGTTTAGTCTCACCTTCATCTCAGCACTGTACCACCGAGTGTGTTTTGTTATAGTCGATAGATTTGTTTTCCTCTATGATGTGGGCTCTTTCATAGGTCACTCTTTTGTTTTTAAATTCAGGAATGTTTGCGTTTTTGTTCAAGGAGCCCTGGTGGTGCAGCAGGTTAAGCATTAGGCTGCTAGTGGAAAATGGTGGTTCAAACACACCAGCCACTCCACAGACGAAAGATGTGGCTATCTTCTTCCATAAATGTTGTTATTAAGTGCTATTGAGTCGGTTCCAATCCATAACAACCCAGTATAGGGTTTCCAAGATGCTACTGGAGAGTTTGAACCACAGACCTCGTGGCTCAAGTCAACCAGCCTTGGAAAGTGTATGGGGCTGTTCTGACTCTATAGTATCGCTCTGTGTCAGGACCCACTCGAGGGCAGTGGGTGGTGGGTGGCACTTGTGTTCTAGTTGGTAATGTTTTACTCTTAACCTTTGTTTAATGTGCTGAGTCCGCTGTTTTATTATTTAACTGTTTACTAACAACTCAAAATGAGGAAAAAACACTGCAAAAATCCATTAATAATCAGAACATGGAATGCACAAAGTAAAACTCTAGGAAAATAGAGTTGTAAAAAATGAATATTCTCCAAATGCATCAATTCTTCTAGTCTTCCTTATTCACTGTCCAGCTTTCACATGCATCTGAGGTTATTGAAAATACCCTGGCTTGGGTCAGGCGCACCTTAGTCCTCAAACTGACATCCTTGCTCTTCAATACTTTAAAAGAGGTCATGTGCAGCGTATTTTCCTAATGCAATTGATTTCTTGAGTGCCGCTTCCATGAGCGAAATGAAGTCTTTGACAACTTCAATCTTTTCTCCAATCATGTGGATGTTATTTATTAGTCCAGTGGGGAGGATTTTTTACTTCTTTACATTGAGGTGGAGCCCATGCCAAAGACTGTGGTATCAGTAAGTGTTTTAAGCCCTCTTTGCTTTCAGCAAGGATGGTTGGATCATCTGCATATCATAGGCTATTAATTAGTCTTCCTCCAATCCTGATGCCACATTTTTCTTCATAGAATCCAGCTTCTTGGATTATTTGCTCATCATACAGATTGAATAAATATGGTGAAAGAATACAACCTTGTCGCACATCTTTCCTAACTTTAAACCATTCAGTGTTCCCATGTTCCGTTTGAACCACTGCCTCTTGGTCGATGCACAGGTTCCTCATGAGCACAATTAAGAGTTCAGGAATATTCATACTTCACAATGTTGTCCATAACTTGTCATGAGCCACACAATCGATAGCCTTTGTGTAGTCAATAAAGCACAGGTAAACATTTTTCTGGTATTTTCTGCTTTCAGCCAAAATCCATCTGATGTCAACAATGGTATCATTCATCCCTCGTTCCATGTCCCCTTCTGAATCTGGCTTGAACCTCTGGCAAAACTCCCTGGGAATGTACTGTTGCAGCTGTTTTTGAAATATTTTTAGCAAAATTTTACTTGCATGTGATATTAATGATATTGTCTGATGATTCCCGCATTCCGTTGGGTCATCTCTTTTTAGATTGGGCACATAAATGGATCTCTTCCAGTCAGTTGGCCAGATAGCTGTCTTCCAAATTTCGTGGCATAGATGAGTGTCTCCAGTGCTGCATCAGTTTGTTGAAAGATTTCCATTTGGATCCATCAATTCCTGGAGCTTTGTTCTTTGCCAATGCCTTCAGTGCACCTTGGACTTCTTTTTTCAGTATCTTCGGCTCTGGATTATATGCTACCTCTTGAAATGGTTGAACATCGACCATTTCTTTTTTGATACAGTGACTGTGTATTCCATCTTCTTTTGATGCTTTCTGCATCATTCAATATTTTGTCATAAAATCCTTCAATATTCAGTTCCCTTGGCTTGAGGAATGCTGACATGTTCTTCCCTTTGGGTTTTCTGACTCCAGATCTTTGCACACATTGTGTAATATTTGACTTTGTCTTCTCGAGCTGCCCTTTGGAATTTTCTATTCATCAATTTCACCTTCTCATTTCTTCCATTTGCTTTGGCATCGCTACTCTGGAGAGCAAGTTTCAGAGTCTTTTCTGACATCCATTTTGGCCTTTTTCTTTTTCTTGTCATAATGACCTTTTGCTTTCTTCCTGCATGATGTTCTTGATGCCATTCCACAGCTTTTCTGGTCTTCAGTCATCATGTCTAATGCATCAAGTCTGTTCTGAAGTCAAATATTACACAATATGTGCAGAGATCTGGAGTCAGAAAACCAAAAGGGAAGAACATGCTCAGCATTCCTCAAGCCAAGGGAACTGAAGAAAAAATTCAAACCTCTACTTGCAATATTGAAGAATTCTATGGACAAAATAGTTTGATGCAGAAAACGTCAAAAGAAGATGGAAGGACTACACAGAGTCAATGTACCAAAAGGAAATGGTCAACTGGGGACACCTGAGCTCATGGACAATGACATAGCCATGGAGGGCTAGAGCTGAGAGTGCAGCGTCCAGCTGATGTGAAGTGAGGGGAGGTGCACAAAAACGCCCAAACTTTCAGATAGTACCCATTTGACCTAGCTTTAATGGCTTGATGATCAGAACTTGACTAGAGGAAGATTTTTTTTTTTTTTAATATAAAGGAAACAACTGTAAGTTGCTACAATTTGATGAACTGGACCTGTGCTTATGGATGTAGTAGCTCAAAATACCACCTGAGAGGAAAGGAATCTTCACACTGAGTATCAATCCTATCCCCTCTGTATATGGGGTTGATAGGGACAGGCAACTTAGACATTGGCTACCTAAAATGGGAGGGGCGGCTATAAAGGCACGAAGTGACTGCCTTATAAGTTCTGACTATAAAGGTCGAAGTTTTGTAACAAAAAGTGGGGAGTAGTTCATCTTACATTCCAGGAACAAAGGACTGTAGGACCATCAAGGGAGAAGAGCACAAGCAGAATGTGGGACCCTATTCAGAGCAGCAGTGACACCAGAGATGGAGGCAGAGATGAGGACATGGGGAGAGAGAGCAGCTGTGAACTCTAGACTCACGGAAAGAGAAAGGCTGTGTGCTGGCCAGGAGGCAGGCTTACAGAATGTGCCCTTTGGTTGTTTAAAGGATTATATATTCCTGAGTGTTTTTGTGTACATAAAAAAATTAAAAAAAAAAAAAAACAGAGGGAATACAAGCAAATTTTGTTGAATGATGATGCACGGAGGAGATTGTAATCATTGCAATAAAACGATGAGTATAAAACTGATGTTCTTCCATTCAAATTATCACTAAATTCACAATAAAAACTTTTTAAAAAAATAATCACAAAACATTAAAAAAAAAAAAAAAAAGAGAAATGGCTGATGTTCAACCATTTCAGGAGGTAGCATATGATCAAGAATGCATGGTGTTGTAGGAAGTCCAACTTCCAATGAAGGTATTAGCAAAAACCAAGGCTCCGAGAACTGGCAGAAAACCAATTGAAATGTCTTAAAAATTGATACAGCACCAGAAGCACTCACTCATCTATGTCAAGAAATTTGGAAGACAGCTACCTGGCCAACCTACTGGAAGAGATCCATATCCAAAGAAAGGTAACCCAACAGAAAGCGGAAGTGATTGGACAATATCACTTGCAAGTAAAATTTTGTTGAAGATCATTCAAAAACAGTTGCAGCTGCACATCCACAGGGAAAAGCCAGAAATTCAAGCTGGACTCAAAAGAGAACGTGAAACAAGGAATATCATTGCTGATGTCAGATGGATCTCGGTGGAAAGCAGAGACTACCAGAAAGATGCCTACTTGTGTTTTATTGACCATGCAAAGGCATTCAACCATGAGGATCATAACAAACCATGGAGCCAGGAGTGGGAATATTCCAGAACATTTCACTGTGCTCTTGTGGAACTTGTACATAGACCAAGAGGCATCCATTCAAACAGAACAGGGGAGGTAATACCGCATGTTTTAAAATCAGCAAAGGTGTTTGTCAGGGTTGTGTCCTTTCACCACACACGTGCCATCCGTATGCTGAACAAATCATCCAAGTAGCTGGATTATATGAAGACGAATGCAGCCTCAGGATTGGAGGAAGTCTCACTAACAACCTGTGATATCCAGATGACACAACCTTGCTTGCTGAAAGCAAAGAGGACTTGAAGCACTTGCTGATGAAGATCAAAGACAACAGCCTTCAATTTGGAATACAGCTCAGTGAAGAAAACATTACAACTGGACCAACAAGCAACACCATGGTAAGTGGAAGGAGCTCTGGTAGTGTGGTGCTTACAAGTCGGGCTGCTAACCTCAAAGTCAGCAGTTTGAAACTACCAGCCATTCCAAAGGAGAAAGATAAGGCTTTCTGCTCCTGTGAAGATATACAGCCTCGGAAACCCTATACAGGGTCACTATGAGTCGGAACCAACTCAGTGACACCACCACCACCACCAGCACCAGCATGGTAAGTGAAGAAAAGATGGAAGCTGTCAAGGATTTCATTTACTTGGATCCATGATCAATGCCCACGGAAGCAGCAGTCAGGAAATCAAAGGACATTGCCTAAAGCAAATATGCTGCCAAAGATCTGTTTTAAGTATTAAAGAACGAAG